AACTGAAATGTGTCTTGGGTTGCGTTTTGCCTTTTTAATCGTATCCAAGTTCTCCATCATGTACATGGAAGCCGATCCACTTTACTTTGAATCCTTCATTCTTTTGTTGGGAAAATGAAAGCTGGAATCTGGCTGTGAAGACGAGCAAAGGCCTTCCAGTGTTCCATAAAGAAGTATCTGTGAAAGAACGAAGCAATGCAAATGTGTATATATTGTTACAAAATATCATGGCATTATTTATGGTAAATGTAGGGTAGACTTAAAAAAAAAAAAAGCTTAAAGTGATCACAACATATAGTGCAATTTGAAGACTCGTAAAATAAGTTGGGATCCAAGTTATTATTTTGGGGGTTAATCATTTATTGCTGTACATTGTTTTTTATATATACTTTCTTCAATGTGCATATTATATATGTACACATGAACACCTTGGGTTGTATCTATTCCATATTCTGTTTGAGCCTCCCGGTGCTTTCCTCTGCTAGTGAAATGATTGTAGCATAAGGCCTCATTCACACTGCTAAGAGCCGGCCTGTACAGATCCATGCGGCGTGCACGCTCCCGGGAAGGACTAGTGCTGCGTGTGATTGTGCACAGCAGCCTGTTCTTCTCTATGGGAGTGCGCGGCCGTACGTTCATCCGTGTGAGTGCGGGTGTCTGTACATGTACACAGACAGAGTATGGCGGCGTACGGCCATGTACTCGCAGAGAGAAGAACAGGCTGCTGCGTACAAATCACACACAGCACTTGTCCTTCCCGGGAGCGGGCCGTGCACGCCGCATGGATCTGTACGGGCCGGCTCTTAGTGTGAATGAGGCCCAATACACTGGCCGCACTTCGAAATTCGCACATTCCTCGAACAGCTGATCGAAGGGGCCGGCTGGAAAATCTTTCTACGATCAGAGCCGGCAGCCAATGAGCGGAAAAAAATTGATAGGTGTATGGCCAGCCTAACTGACCTTTCAGCTAAATGGATTCCAAGGTGCATCAAAGACATCAAAAGTATATTAGTTGATTTTCTTTAAGAAGCGGCCACAGCCTGAGCAGAAAAGCCTGTCCTCTGCCAGCATGCTGCAGAGAAGGACCCTTGCTCTTTTTTGGGGAAGCGGTAATCTTTCTGCAGATGTCCGACACCACCTGCTGAATCAGAGCTAGAGCTCTCCAATCAAGGGGGAGCATGTCTGACCTCTGCAGCGAGGACACTGCTTTCACACAGAGGGCAAGGGTCCTTCTCTGCACCATGCTTGCAGGGGACAGGCTTTTCTGCTCAGGCTGCGGCTGCTTTCTAAAGAAAACAAGACTTTGTACACCTTTTTTGTTTTGATCCTCTGGAATGGATTTAGCTAATTCTACTAAATGTTCAAGCTAGAAAAATGTCAGGAATTATATTTAGAAAAGGGGGGCGGGGGGTGATGTCCTTTTGTGGGAATCCCTCCTATAACCTCAGCATTACCATCAGCCAACCCCTCTGAGCATTATTTGAATTGAAGTAGTGGGAGCAATAGAAGTTTACGGGTCATTTACTCATACCTCGCACAGTCCATCATGGGAACCATTTCTGGTGGTCTTCTTTAGGAAGCATATTTTTCCCCTTATGCAACAGAATTTCCCATCGGGTGAAGCTGTGGCTGAATCTTGCAGACCTTTGGTGTGGATGGTGTTTGGGTACCAGGCGGTCAAACGGTAAGATTTTTAAATGCTTTGTGCAAAGATAGTTTTTTTGTAGAATTAGAATGTCTTGAGTTTTTTTTTATGGTACAATGAAGCACAAAATCATGAGTAGAGATGAGCCTATCCTCAGCGGGGTTCATGGTTCAAGGATATCCTTGACCATAGGCCAGTTTTCCACAGGCCTCTTCTGTTAGGGCAATGGGTATCTGATTGGCCTGTCCTGGAACATACTGAGGGGAAGTTATCGAATCTTGAGCAGTTGCCCAGGGCAACCAATCAGCTTCTCTCTCTCCTGTAGTTTGTTCAGTTGAGCTTTGAAAATTAAAGAGAGAAGCTGATTGGTTGCCATGCACAGCTGCTCCAGTTTTGATAAATTCCCCTTGCTGTGTATTCCTACATCTGCCCGTGTATTTTTATTGCAGCTGCTTTATTGGCATCTTCTGGTTGAACACTGGCCCCTTGCCAACGGGTGTATAGTCAGGGTGGCCAGTCGCGGCCCTTTAAACCTAGCAGTAGCAGCATTAAAGCTTGTGTGCCAGGCTGCCATTGCTTGAAAGGCGACCCTACCTTTTTTCTTTCAAAAAAAAAAAAGCTTTATGTGCTTTTCCGGCTGCTGCCAAACGCATGCAGGATTGTCCACTTGACGACTGGGTGGTGACAAGCTCAGGGTTTCCTTAGCTCTGCTCATCTGCGACCAGTTCTGCCAAGATGTAATTATATGTTTATAAAGGGTGATGAAGAGAGCAAGGAAAAAATAAAATGTACCGTGTGGGATTTTGTATTTCACTTGCTGGCTTTGTGTAAATAAAAAGTGTATGTTTTCTCAGCGAGGTTTCCATTGCCTATTATTGTATAGAGACACTCCAACAGGGTTATTCACAAAAGGGTGAAGGGTTTGGGGAAGGGAACAACCTAGAACAGGGGTAGCCAAACTCCGGCTCTCCAGCTGCGGTGAAACTACAAATTCCATGAGGCATCTCTCTCCGGGAGTCGTGGCTGTGAGAATCTTACAATGCCTCATGGGTTTGTAGTTCCACCACAGCTGGAGGGCTACCCCTGATCTTGGACAACCTAGCGGATTTGGAAATCTCCACTTCAGCTCACTTTCCAGTTCAAATATGTTGGCCTAGATTGTTCACTTCTCCAAACTCTTCACCCTTTTGTGAATAACCCTATAAGTCTAAAATTTACAAATGTTAATTGTGCCAAAGCAGTACCCACTTCCTGGTATGGAAGGATGCCTAGGCACTCCTGTGCCTTGAGCCTTATGTCTGTGTATCTGCCATGTGAGGTCATTTAAGGCAATGTCGTCTCTGACTACCAGTTCCAGGAGTTTTGGTGATGTCACTGTTGTGCTGCTCACTGTTCTCTTTGCTGGAGGCTCTGACATGTGGAATCTAAGCCCTGCCTCTACCAAGATGGCCGCCCCCACACAGAGCAGATCAAGACGTAAGTGTGTGAAGGTTCTCATTCATCCAGGTCATGGTATATCTGTAATAAATAAGTCTACGGCAACTGGACTTGCTGTATTTTTCTTGAAGACGTTTCACTGGACATCCAACCAGCTTTCTCAATTTAGAATGACTTGTACAAAAATTATCTGGGAATTCCCAGAGGATTTGTGTACGTCATTCTGAAAAGGAGAAAGCTGGTTGGATGTCCAGTGAAACGTCTTCAAGAAAAATACAGCAAATCCAAATGCTCCGTGCAGGGCCTGGGATGGACAGGTGCTGTGTGTGATTAGTACGCAGCCCCTGTCCTTCTCTATGGGACTATGTGGTCATACAGCCCCCCCCCCTATGCTCACCCCATGGGCGAGGGGGGGGGCGGGGGGGGTACGGCCGCGTGGTCC